GAAGTCAATTATATTTGATTTCAAAATTTTGTAAACAATCTATAAAATTTAATCTTGATTATAAAATGTAACTTCCGTAAGCCTTTTACAACCTTTATAACCTTTATTAACGAGTTGGTTAAAGCTGCAAGAAAACCTTGTTAATCTGACACAGGGTCCATATACTGGTTTTGCATCAGTGTGTCTTTGACACTAATGATATTTATAGAGAAGCTGAACTTATTTCACATTTCAAAATTGGCTCTTACAATCTTACATGCCTACCTCTTCCACAGTAGTCCCTGGGCCTTGAGGAATTGAATAACTTTAATTTCAGGCCCTGTGTCTCAGGAAAGCAGTTTATTTTGATTTGCATGTTCTATGGGGCTTGAAGATGAGGCTTTAATTGTTGTCAGTGTTTAAGATTTAGCAGGACTTGCTGTCCTTTTTAGACCCAAGAGTCAGACCCCTGTAACTCAATGTCACAAGGACTTTAAAAGCACATACAGGCCAGGCACTGTGGCTTGCACCTGTAATCCCAGCACTTTGGGAGGCCGAGGTGGGCGGATCACAAGGTCAGGAGATCAAGACTATCCTGACCAACATTGTGAAACCCTGTCTCTACTAAAAATACAAAAATTAGCCGGGCATGGCAGCGCACACCTGTAGTCTCAGCTACTCAGGAGGCTGAGGCAGGAGAATCGCTTGAACCAAGGAGGCAGAGGCTGCAGTGAGCCGAGATGGCGCTACTACACTGCAGCCTGGGCCACAGAGCAAGACTCTGTCTCAAAAAAAAAAAAAAAAAAGCACATACAGGCTGGCTGTGGTGGCTCACACCTATAATCTGTAATCCCAGGACTTTGGAAGGCCAAGGTGGGCAGATCACCTGAGGTCAGGAGTTCAAGACCAGCCTGGCCAACATGGTGAAACCCCATCTCTACTGAAAATACAAAAATTAGGCTGGGCACGGTGGCTCACACCTATAATCCCAGCACTTTGAGAGGCCAAGGTGGGTGGATCACCTAAGGTCAGGAGTTCAAGACCAGCCTGGCCAAAATGGTAAAACGCCATCTCTACTAAAAATACAAAAATTAGCCACGCATGGTGGCGGGTGCCTGTAGTCCCAGCTACTAGGGAGGCTGAGGCAAGAGAATCACTTGAACCTGGGAGGCAGAGGTTGCAGTGAGCTGAGATCCCGCCACTGCACTACAGCCTGGTGACAGAGCAAGGCTCCATCTCAAAAAAAAGAAAAAAGAAAAAGACAGAAAAAGAAAAAAAAAATCTTATCTCAGTTTTTTTTTGTTTGTTTGTTTGTGTTTTTTTGAGACAGAGTTTCACTCTTGTTGCCCAGGCTGGAGTGCAATGGCTCGATCTTGGCTCACTGCAATCTCCGCCTCCCAGGTTCAAGCAATTCTCCTGCCTCAGCCTCCCCAGTAGCTGGGACTATAGGTGCGCGATACCAAGCCTGGCTAATTTTTGAATCTTTAGTAGAGACGGGGTTTGACGATGTTGGCCAGGCTGGTCTCAAACTCCTGACCTTGTGATCCACACGCCTGGGCCTCCCAAAGTGCTAGGATTACAAGCGTGAGTCACCGCGCCCGGCCTATTGAAAGCCTTTTAAATACAAATATGCACAGATGCATGCATACAGACACACATCTTGGATGTTAGCCTTTTAATTAAGCTGACTTTTAACTATTGAGCTCCTTAACAAAAGAAAAAAAAATTTTTTTAATCTCATTACCATATTTCAGCTATGACAAAATGCTACTAAACTAACAGTGATCACACAAATTATATGATTTCTGAGCGCTCTAAGTGTAAGCAGAAATTAACACCAGCTGGCTGTTAAATGCTAACTTTATTCGTTTAAAAGGAATTTGCAAGACAAAAATGCCAAACCAGTTTCTTACCTAGTGATGGGTCACAGGCTGTAGACTGCTCTCTACCAGCCTAGAAGCAGGAAAAAAAACAACTCATCTTCTCTGTTGGAAGTGAGTTCGAACTCATGGAAAGAGGAAAACTTACCTTCCTGTAGGAAGCAAGTAAAACTCAAAAAAAAAAAAAAAAAAAAGAAAGAAAGAAAGAAAAAAGGAGTTGTACAGCAAAATAAACTACTTTAGATCTCAACCAAATTTTGGGAGATCAGGGATTCTCTGGAGGGGGTGCTCTCAGACCTCAGCAAATTGCCCTATTGGTTTGAGCCATAAAGTTAGCTCATGCTGGTACCAAGCACCAATAGGAGATTTATTTTTTTGAGATGGAGTCTCGCTCTGTTGCCCAGGCTGGAGTGCAGTGGCGCCATCTTGGCTCACTGCAACCTCTGCCTCCCGGGTTCAAGTTATTCTCCTGCCTCAGCCACCCGAGTAGTTGGGATTACAAGCACACGCCACCACACCTAATTTTTTTTTTTTTTTTTGAGACAGAATCTCGCTCTGTCGCCCAGAGCTGGAGTGCAGTGGCACAATCTCAGCTCACTGCAAGCTGCGCCTCCTGGGTTCATGCCATTCTCCTGCCTCAGCCTCCTGGGTAGCTGGGACTACAGGCGTCCGCCACCACACCAGGCTAATTTTTTGTATTTTTAGTAGAGATGCGGTTTCACCGTGTTTGCCAGGATGGTCTCGATCTCCTGACCTCATGATCCGCCCACCTTGGCCTCCCAAAGTGCTGGGATTGCAGGCGTGAGCCACCGTGCCCAGCTAATTTTGCATTTTTAGTAGAGATGGGGTTTCACCATGTTGACCAGGCTGGTCTCCAACTCCTGACCTCAAGTGATGCACTTGCCTTGGCCTCCCAAAGTGCTGTGATTACAGGCATGGGTCACCGTGCCTAGACAATAGATTTTTTTTTAAAGGTTAAGGGCATCTCCACTCAGAATTCTCCTGTGGTTACCAAAATGTGAACTCCCAAAATTTGAGACAGGTCTCAGTTAATTTAGAAAGTTTATTTTGCCAAGGTTGAGGACACGCCTGTAACACAGTCTCAGGAAGTCCTGAAGAGATGTGCCCAATGTGGTCCGGGCACAGCTTGGTTTTATACATTTTAGGAAGACATCAAAATGTAAGAAGTACATTAGTATTTGTTCTGTCCAGAGAGGCAGAGACAGCTCAAAGCGAGGTCCCCCCTCACTGGGGGCCTCCAGGTCACATGTAGGTGAGAGACAGATGGTTGCATTATTTTGAGTTTCTGATAAGTCTTTCCAGAAGAGGTAATCAGAATATGCATCTATCTCTGTGAGCAGAGAGATGACTTTGAATAGAATTGGAGGCACAAATCTGCCTCCAATTCTGTGGTTCCCAGGTTCTCAGCTTGAAGAGGCCCAAGATATTTTTCCTTCACACCTGGCATACAGTTAATGGGCTCTTTTGTAGGAGTTTCAGGATTTATAAAGCACTTTCACTCACATTATCACTTTTAGACTGTTTTCACAAATGTAACATATTAAGCATTTTTAAAATTTAAAAATGAAGGATAAATAACTTCTCCAAGACATCACTGAATAGCAAGTGATAAAAGGAGGGGAGTCACCAATGAGGGTTTGCCACTTTCTAGTACCTACCTCACAGGGTTGTTGCAAGGATAATACTAACCAATGTGTGGCAGTAGCACTTATAAAAATGGAATGTCACATCTTAGCTCCAATACAATACCCCTTTCTCAGGAAAGTCATCTTTGATGGTGTACTGTAGATCAAGTTCACACTATAAACTCATAAACAACATGTACTTCCTTTCCCAGCACTCAATGACAGTATTAACGTATGAATGACAGTATTAATGTATGTCATCATTTGATTGTCTCTTTTTTTTTTTGAGATGGAGTTTCACTCTTGTTGCCCAGGCTGGAGTACTGTAGCAGAACGAGCCACAGTCAAAACTCCTCAGACACCAGATTAAAGAAGGAAGAGGTTTATTCGGCCGGGAACGTCAGCAGATTTGTGTCTTAAAAGCCAAGCTCCCAGCCGAATAAACCTCTTCCTTCTTTAATCCAGTGTCCAGGAGCGTTCTCAGGATCCGCATTGCTTAATCTGGCCAGAGTCCCCGCCAGGGATGCTCTACAGGGCAGGCAGTACAATGGCACAATCTCGGATCACCGCAATCTCAGATCACAGCAACCTCCGCCTCCCGGGTTCAAGTAATTCTCCTGCCTCAGTCTCCAGAGTAGCTGGGATTACAGGCATGTGCCACCATGTCTGGCTAATTTTGTATTTTTAGTAGAGACAGGGTTTCTCCATGTTGGTCAGGCTGGTCTCGAACTCCCAACCTCAGGTGATCCACCCACCTCAGCCTCCCAAAGTGCTGGGATTACAAATGTGAGCCACTGCACCCGGCCTTTTTTCTTTTATTCCGAAAGCTCTATCAGGATATTAATGTCTGGTTTTATTCTCCATAAAATCTCCTACACCTAATACAGCACTTGTCATATGGAATTTTTTTTGAGGCAAGGTCTGGCTCTGTCACCCAGACTGGAGTGCAGTGGCGTGATCTCTGCCTACTGCAGCCTTGGGCCTCCCAGGCTAAAGCGATCCTCCCACCTCAGCCTCCCAAGTAGCTGGGACCACATGCATGCACCACCACACCCAGCTAATTTTTCATTTTTTTGTAGAGAGGGAGTTTCGCCATGTTGCCCAGGCTGGCCCAATTTCCGATTAACTCTAGATCTGATTACTTTTCTTAGTCTAGGAAAACTGTGTTACAGTGATGCGAGGATCTGTAGAATGACGTTGATGTTACTCCTCTGAGATCAAAGTTACTATTAATATCAATTTCGATGAACTAGAGACCGCTGTAGGGAGATTGTGGGAACTGTTCAGAACGGTTTAATCTGGGAGGACACGACTTCTACTGAGAATGCATGCCCTGAACGACAATTCGTTTTCACCTCAAAAACCTGGATCGCAGTTTTGTCTCTCCTTCCGTACGATGACCCAAGATGGCGGAGCCCGGGATTGAAAACCCAGATTCAAGATGGCGACTTCCAGCTTCCCCCATAGCGTCGCGCGTGGCCACCGAGGCCACGCCTACTTCCGGCGACTCCGGCTCAGCATGGCTGCTTTAGCGACTGTTCTCTTCAGTGAGTGGGTATAGATAGTGACCGTGGACTCGGAGGCGCGTTGGGGAGGGGCACAGGACCCCTGATCCGGCTGCGCGGCCTCTCCCCCAGCTCTGTTCTGTTTTCCCAGCAGGTGTCCGGAGGCTGCACTGCGGCGCAGCCGCTTGGGCGGGCAGCCAGTGGCGACTACAGTGAGTGCTGGGATGAGGGGTCCTGGGGGACCAGAAGCCGGGCTGGGTCCTCACAGATCTGTTTTTCTCCACACAGGCAGGGACTGGCTGCCAACCCCTCCGGCTACGGGCCCCTTACAGACCTCCCAGACTGGTCATATGCGGGTGAGCGCTGATCTGACAGTTAACTCCACTGGGGAGATTTTCACCCAGAGGGAACGCCCCTGGACGGGGAGCTGGGGGGTATCAAGGTGGGGGCGTGTAAAAGTGTTGAACTTTCTATTTGGAAAACGGAATTTGGGGAATCCCTCGTGTTTATTTTGTAGATTACACTTCAACTAAGGAAGGTAAAGCTAAACAGGATCTTGACTTGTGGAGATAAGCAGAAGATAATTCTGACTTGGGGCCGCCAGGGTGGAAGCGGGTGACAAGACTTCTGCGTTTTTTAAAGGGGGACATTATTTTTTTTAACCAAGAACCACTTTTCTGTGTGGTTAGTGAATTTTCAGTATTTGGTACCAAATGGAGGGGGAGCTCTTTGAAAAGCTACAGAAATAAACATCTCAGAGGGGTAGAAGGATGAAGACTATGGATGGCAGGCTCCCTTCAGAAAATTATTTTCCCTTTACTTACAAAAGAGAGGGGTGGGGGAGAGTAGATATTAGCCCTAGAAGGGAGGGACCTTAGAGAAGTTGAAGCTACTCCCCATTCTTCTTATGAGACTCCAGTGTACAAGTAGGAAATTTGAGGCCTACAGAAGTGAATTGCCCATGATCATACAGCTAGGTAAAGCCAGGACTAAACATAGGCCAGTCCTCCTTGACAACACAGAAATCTGAATATTTAATCCCCTATTGTTGCTCTCTAGGAGTATGATCCTGCTTAATTGGATAATTGGTGACTGAGGAAGATGGTGAAGATTTTTTCCACTTGTTATTTACTGTAAGAAGCTTGGCATCTCCTTGTAGGAGTATGGACTGTTGGAAAGACTCTGGAATTATATATGACTGCTTCTTTTTTTTTTTTTTTTTTTTTGAAATAGGGTCTTTCCCTGTCACCCAGGCTGAAGTGCAGTGGCATGATCATCGCTCACTGCAGCCTTGATCTCCTGGGCTCAAGCAGTCCTCCCACCTCAGCCCCCCAAGTAGGTGGGACCACGGGCACACACCACCATTCCTGGCTAATTTTTTTTTTTTTTTAAACACCTAGTAGAGATAAGGTCTTGCTATGTTGCCCAAGCTGGTCTTGAACTCTTTAGTTCAAGTGATCCCCTTAGCCTCCCAAAGTGCTGGGATTACAGGCATGAGCCACCACGCCCAGCCTGTGGACCTTATTCTTAATCTAGGCTTCCCTTCTCGCTAACTTTGTGGTCTTGGACAAGTTACTTAATTTTATCTTAGTCTCAGTTTCCGTATCTGTAAAAGAATACCTATCTCATACGGTTCTTATAAGGATAAAATGAAACAACCAATGTAAAGCACGTGGCATACACAATATTGGTTCCCCTTCCTGATAAATATCACCTCTTCTCTGTCTTGCCTTCAAACTTTTGGGCAGAGTTTTCACTCTGTTTCTTTCTTTGCAGAAAGTAAACTACTTGGGTCAGATACTGCATCTTTTCAGCAAGTCAGCAGATATTTGTGGATGTTTATTAACATGCTTATGTGCCTACACTATACTATGAATAGCAAAAGCTAGCGATACAGTTCTTGACCCAGGGAACTTAAAGTCTAACTAGGACAAAGCGTGGACGTTTTAAAAATTAAGTAATAGCATTCAGGGCCAGGCGCCGTGGCATGTGCCTATAGTCCCAGCTACTCGGGAGGCTGAGGCAGGAGAATCGCCTGAGCCCAGCAGGTGGAGGTTGTAATGATCTGAGATTGTGCCATCGCACTCCAGCCTGGGCGACGGAGCAAGACCTTGTCTCAAAAATAATAATAGTAAATAATAGTATTTCAATACTCTGCCCCTTTCCAAAAGGACCTAAGGTAGCTAAATAACACTTAAAGAAAAAAAGTACAGTAAATGTCCCAAGGCAAATAGGTGAATATTAAATAGTCAGCACTTCTTTCAGAAGAAAAGGCTGATGGATTTGAAGAGATTAGAGTTTCTGGGAAAGTTAGGGTTTGAGTGGACCTAAGGATGAAAATTTGGCTGGAAGAAAAAGAAAAGAGGGCATTTCATTGTGGAGTGGGATGGAATTTAGCAAAGAGACATAGTACAACAGTGATCACATTGCTTAAGAATTTCTGAAGACAAAACAGATTCAGCATTGCAGAGGACCTCAAATACAAGGCTAATGAGAGTTAAGTGAAATAGAGTAGTAAATAGCCGGGTATGGTGGCACGCACCTGTAATCCCAGCTACTCAGGAGGCTGAGGCAGGAGAATCACTTGAACCCGGGAGGCAGAAGTTGCGGTGAGCCGAGATCATGCCATTGCACTCCAGCCTGGGCAACAAGAGCAAAAGTCTGTCTCAAAATAAAAAATAAAATAAAAAAGGCCAGGCACAGTGGCTCACGCTTGGAATCCCAGCACTTTGGGAGGCCGAGCCAGGTGGATCACAAGGTCAAGTGATCAAGACTATACTGGCCAACATGGTGAAACCCCGTCTCTACTAAAAATACAAAAATTAGGAATGGTGGCACATGCCTGTAGTCCCAGCTACTCAGGAGTCTGAGGCAGGAGAATCTCTTGAACCCGGGAGGCAGAGGTTGCAGTGAGCTGAGATTGCGCCACTGCACTCCAACGTGGCAACAGAGCGAGACTCTCTGAAAAACTAAATAGATAAATGAAATAAAATGAAAGAGTAGTAGTATGCCTAAGAGCTCATTCTGGGTTATCGTACCTTACCCTTGAAGATGAGGGACGTATTTTAGCTTAATTAAGCTACAGTGTATATGAAATGGAAGAGAGGAGCTAGAGATTGGTTCTTCCCTTATTCCTATCACAGTATTTGCACAAGGTGCTGCAGACCGTCTCTAACACTTGCCTTTTCTCTCACTTCTACTTGTAGATGGCCGCCCTGCTCCCCCAATGAAAGGCCAACTTCGAAGAAAAGCTGAAAGGGAGAAGTTTGCAGTGAGTGGCTAGAGCAACAGCCAGGGCTACCTGGAAGGAGAACATTTAAATCATAATTTGTCTTGAGCTGTGTTGCACCTAAGCAAACATGTACCCCTCATGCAGAGGTTTTATTAATAACAGCCAAAGGTTGTTGATGTTTTTGTTTTTGGTGAGATGGAGTTTCGCTCGTTGCCCAGGCTGGAGTGCAATGTTGCCATCTCAGCTCACCTCAACTTCCTACTCCCGGGTTCAAGCGATTCTGCAGCCTCAGTCTCCCGAGTAGCTGGGATAACAGGCATGTGCCACCACGCCTGGCTAATTTTGTATTTTTAGTAGAGACGGAGTTTCTCCATTTTGATCAGACTGGTCTCAAACTCCCAACCTCAGGTGATACGCCTGCCTCAGCCTCCCAAAGTGCTGGGATTACAGGCGTGAGCCACCGTGCCTGGCCCCAGCCAAAGGTTTTAATAGCACTGTGAGAAGGGAGGAAGAGAGTGGGGCACTGCCAGGACAGGAACCAGTAGTAGACATCCTGCTGCGCATTTTGCTGTCTCCCTCTGCTTCCCAAGCCAGGACTTGCTCCCACTGGGGAGTCAGCAGTGTCATTTTCCAGATGAAACCTTTGAATTTGTAAGTGGAAGGATATATAGTGTAGCGCTTAAGTCCCAGATGTTATCCACACTGTTTTCCTGTCTGTTTCAGAGACGAGTTGTACTGCTGTCACAGGAAATGGACACTGGATTACAAGCATGGCAGCTCAGGCAGCAGAAGTTGCAGGAAGAACAAAGGAAGAAGGAAAATGCTCTTAAATCCAAAGGGGCTTCACTAAAGAGCCCACTTCCAAGTCAATAAAAAGCAGCTCCTGCCTCCCTCAGCCTCTCTCTGGATTTCTTTTCTGTCACCTAGATGCTTCATCCCACCCAGAAGAGAGCCTTCACATTCCCCATCTGTCTCCAAAGCAAAAGAGCTGGGACACCAAGAACAAGCTGTTAAATCACTGCCTGGGAGGCTTGGCTTAGTGCCCTCATCTCTGGCTCCATTCCAGTTCGGCTAAGTCTTGCTTTAAAATGTTTACCTCCTTTGCAGGCCATAGGACTGGCCCAACTATGAGAAATAGCTGTTCTGTGCACATGAAAAGGGGACAGCAGTTTTCCTGGTTCTAGCCAGGCACTCAAGCCTTTAAGAGCCCATACACAGTTTAGGCCATGTACAGCTGGCATCTAATAAATGTTTTCATGAAAAAGATTTTCAGCTGGGCACGGTGGCTTACGCCTGTAATCCCAGCACTTTGGGAGGCTGAGGCGGGTGGATCACGAGGTCAGGAGTTCAAGACCAGCCCAGCCAACATGGTGAAACCCCCCCCCCCGCCGTCTCTACTCAAAATACAAAAATTAGCCAGGGGTGGTGGCACACACCTGTAATCCCAGCTACTTGGGAGGCTAAGGCAGGAGAATGACTTGAATCCAGGAGGTGGAGGTTGTGGTGAGCCAAGATTGTACCACTACACTCCAGCCTGGGCGACAGAGTGAGACTCCATCTCAAAAAAAAGAAAAAAAAAATTTCTAGTCTAGGTCCCTTTTTTGACAAGCATCTGGTGTCAGTCTTCCTAAGATTCAAATACATGGTCCACGTGGTTACCCCCACTGGGAAGACTGATGTGGGAAAAACCATACCTGGGTGTTGCATGTTCTGCCAAGAGTGGGGTTCTGAGGTCTCCATGTTTCTGACTGTATTCCAGAGATTGGTTGAAGAGGGGCTTGTACCTTCCAACCCCAGTTTGTGTAGGAAAGCCCTACGTAAGGGCTTAGCCCTCAGTCACTGTGGGGTAGGTAACTGTTTAATAACACAACCATGGGAGGCCAAGACGGGCGGATCACAAGGTCAGGAGATCGAGACCATCCTGGCTAACAAGGTGAAACCCCATCTCTACCAAAAATACAAAAAATTAGCCGGGCGTGGTAGCGGGTGCCTGTAGTCCCAGCTACTCGGGAGGCTGAGGCAGGAGAATGGCATGAACCCAGGAGGCGGAGCTTGCAGTGAGCCGAGATTGCACCACTGCACTCCAGCCTGGGTGTACTGCACTCCAGCCTGGGTGACAGAGCGAGACTCCATCTCAAAATAAATAAATAAATACACACCATATACCTCCCACAAACCTGGAGGCTCCACAGGACCTGAAAAGCTTTTCATTTTATTGATCGTGAATCTGAGAGCAAAAGACCTTTGTTTTCATTGCAGTACTGAGCACTAGACTTCCATTCTTCTGCCACAGAAGTGCGATAGTTCCTGAATCCCTTGATTTCTGAAGCTTCCTACCTGACCTAATTTCTGTCCACCCTCCTTTATTCCTTCCTTTGCTTTCTTCTCCCTCCTCGCACTACCTCCGTCCTCTCTCACTGACCAAATGCAATTCTTGGATCTTAGATTTCGCTGATAGTCGAGTTTTCTGTCTCCCACACTTTTCCTGCTTCTGTTGCGCTGCTTTTCCACATCTGTCTAGTTCCGGACCCTTTATCTGTCTCCCTTTCTCACGGTCAGCTTTATCCTGCCCTCTCCCTTTCCTACATACCTCCATCTTTTGTTCTGAGTCCAGTAAGTCCCTAAAGGAGATTTTACTCTTTAAGAATTGCCTCCTTTTTCAGTGTAGAGGTGGAACTAAACCCCAGCATCCCAACTCCCAATCCCTTCTTTTACAATAATTTCACCCAGCTTGATTTGCTTTCCCCAGATCCCATGGCCTTGTACCCTTTTCCTGTCAGCGAGTTCCAATTAAAGGTGCAGCCACGTTACAAATGACAATAAAGGAATCTTTCTACAAGGTTGGAGCCACAGATCCAGTATGGTTGTGGGGTTTTTTGTTGGTAGTTGGGTTATAGTTTGGAATTTTTGGCAGCAGAGGGAGGAACATAGACAGTTGTCTATAGGGGCCAGAAGATAACCCCCCAACTATTAGTAAACTGGCCCCTTCTCCCTATGCAGGTCTCATGAGCATGGAGGAAGACCTCACCATCCCACACTTTGAGCTCCTTGTTGCCCCTAGCCACGTAGTCCCCAATAATTTCCACCCTGAGGTGAGACAAATGCTGAATACCAGAGGAATCAAGCCACTCAGAATATGCTTATGGGGAGAAAGTCTCCCACATCCCGTCCCCTGGGTCCCCTACAGCCCCCTGCTGTCCACCGTGGCCTCAACCCCTGCAGATGGCAGCCTGCACCACAAAAAGGCAACTTAGCGGGTTGGGTTTTTTTTTTTTTTTTTTTCTTGGTTGTAATTGGATTCAGGCTAAAACAACCACGTCCCCAACCAGGAAAGGAGGGCACTGGGGCGGGGACGGAGGAGAGGCTGCGGGAAAAGGGAGGGACCAGAGGAGAGAGCGAGAGGGATCCAGACCCCAGTTCGCCGACTAAGCAGAAGAAAGATCAAAAACCGGAAAAGAGGAGAAGAGCAAACAGGCACTTTCAGGAACAATCCCCTTAATTCCAAGCCGACAGCGCTCTAGGAATTAAAGTTCAGTGCTACCGAAGACAAAGGCGCCCCGAGGGAGTGGCAGTGCGACCCCAGGGCGTGGGCCCCGCCGCGGAGCCCACACTGCCCGGCTGACCCGGTGGTCTCGGACCATGTCTCCCGCCCCAAGACCCTCCCGTTGTCTCCTGCTCCCCCTGCTCACGCTCGGCACCGCGCTCGCCTCCCTCGGCTCGACCCAAAGCAGCACCTTCAGTCCCGAAGTAAGTGAGCTCTCCGGCCCTTCCTGGAGTCTCGCCCGCCGGGAGGCGAGCCCGGGGGTCTCCAAGGGGACAGCCTCTATTCGGAGAGGAGGGCTCTTGGGATCTCGGCTGTTCGGGCCTGCAGGATTCCCCCTCCTTTTCTTTTTCCTCTTCGTCTCCAAACTTCCAGATCGATCCAACTTTTGCCCGCTTCCAACCAGCTGCCCCCACCCCCTGCGCCGCCGACTGTCTTTCCCATTCCTTCTTTTTTCCCAGTCCTTGGAAGAACTTTACAACTGGGGCAGACTCCCCCTTCCCCAATTCCCTTGGGCTCTGCGTTCAGCTCTGGAACCGCCTGGTAAACATTTGGACTCCGCTCAAACCCCGCGCTGTCCCGGCTCCTCGTCATGCGCGAGAGTTTGTTGTTTCTTCGACTTTCCAGCTCTCCAGCGCTCTCCCGCCGGCGCGCCCTCCGATGGGCGCTCCGGCCTCCCCGGGCGGCCCAGGCCCTGAGCGGACGCGTCTGCGGCCAGATGGGGGTCGAGGGTGAACGGCCGAGCGTCCAGGGCCACAGCCCCCGTCTCCCCGAGAGGACCCCGCTGTCCCCCTACCCGCATCCCTGGCGTCGAGGGTCGCAGCGCCGGCGCGCTGGCCGCGTTTCCGTCCACACAAAGCTCTCCTTGTGGGCCGGGTGATCGGCCGGGTCGCTGCCTTCCCCTATCCCCACCCGCGTCGGCGCCTTCAGGCCCTTTTTGTTGTTAATTGTTTTTCTGTGTTAATTGCAGGGAGCCAGGGGGCGTCGCTTGGGGAGTGGGGAGAGGGTCTGGCCCGGGGTGCCCTCACACGTCTCGGCTGGCTCGGGCGCCCCCCACCCCCACCCCGGCCCAGACGGTGGCCCACCGGGCCCCAGAGGAAGCTGCGTGGGAGTTGTCTGAGGAGGTTTTTCCTCTCTCTCTCTTATTTTGGGGTGAAGGTGGGAGACGGATTTAATGAGCTTCTTATTTTGGGCCATCTCAACCCACTCAGCCTGGCAAGGGCCTGGGTGCGGTCGGGAGGGGCCAGGAAGGGCCCCAGAAGGGGGATGGGATCTGGGTTTGGCTTCTCCGCCCTGGTCCCACCCCGGAGGAAACTCTTTGGAAAGAATACTCTCTTCTCTCTCTGTCCCTGAAGGGGTCTGGGGCCGACTGGAAAAGTATGGCCCCAGGAATGGGGGTGGAAGACGAAACGTGGAGTGCTCAGACACCAGGGAGAGTAAAAACCTGCCCTAGTGCTGGAGGCTGAGCCTGACTCTCGGGGAGGAGTCGTCCTCTTCCCAGGCCTAGAGTCCTCCTCTGAGACCTGAAAGGGAGCGCCCCTAAGAAAACGAGCCTGGGCATCTGGGGAGCTGCCCACAGCCAACTTCACTGCCTTGCCTTTTTTCCCTCCCCTGCTCTGCTGGGTCCCCCAGGGGAGGGGCGGCAGCCCTGGCTCCGTTTTAAGTGGGTCATGGGCGGTCCCAGTGCCAGAACCACCATTTGCTTCTGGGCCCTGGAAGGGAGGGAGGAGCAGCCCCAGAGGCTAGGATCCAGGGCCTACTGCAGAGCTGGAGGTCCCCCCACCCTCCACTGGACTCCTAAGCCAAGGTGGGAGGTGTTCCGTTGACTTTCTCCTAGGGGATACCTTGCATCTCTCTCATTCACAAAGACAAAGCCAACCAGCTGAGTTCTTTGACCCAACATAGTTGCTTTTTACTCCAGACCAATGTGGAGGGAAAGCTGGGGTGGTGCAGGCCTCATGCAGCTGGGTCCCTCCCACCAGGCCTCCAGAGTCCTGCACCAGCTCCAGGACAGCCCTCTCCTCCCTATGGCCCGTCTGGCGCTGAGCCCTTCCTCCCACCCAGCCGCAGACACAAGAGTCCTCTCTTCTGTGGTTTCGACCTCATAGTCTCTGTGAGGAGAGAAACTTGCCTAGGCCTGGTGGGAGGAGAGGGATGGGGGCACTTCCTTTCCAGGCCTTGCAGCTCTCTTGACTCCAGGGAAGTCTTTCACTTGACTGAGCCTTCATTTTTCTCCCTAGGGTATGGGGTGGAGGTTGTGGGTATGAATATTTAGACCCGCCTAGCTTCTTGAAAGACTCCAGAGGGGATTTCCCCTAGAGCTCCTGGATGTGGATTCTCCCCATCTCTGTG